GGCTCAGCTGCTGACCAACTGTGGGCCTGAGGCTGAGCTGTTCCCAGCCCCTCCACACATACTTGATTAATAAATGAAGGACACAAGGAACTGTTGACCCAAAATGGCATCTGAAGTGGTTAATGTGAAAGCTGATGACACTTTATCAGATGAAAAAACCCTTTCCAGCCAGGCGTGGTGGTGCACACTTGTGACCAGCACAGCACTCTGGGAGCCTGGGGCAGGAGGGTCAAAGTTCAAGCCCAGACATGGCAAATCAGCAAGATCCTATCTCAAAATTTTAAACAAGGGCTGGAGGTGTAACTCAGTGTGAAGGCCCTGGGTTGGGACCCCAGTACAGGAAAAAATAAAGTTTCCATCTTTATGAGGTTAAAAAAGTACAAGAAAAAAAATCAGAATTTTCACAGTATGTCACAAATCCTGATTGAATTTTATTCAAATTGACTTCTTTCTGATAGGTGGCTAGAATATCATTTACTGCATGGATAGTCGGGTCCCTGAAGAAGATAAACAAGCAACTAACATTTCACAACCTGAAAGAAGACGACATTAAACTACCATTTGTTCTAGCTCAATACTGTTTAATAATTCAACAATTATGTCTTCCGGATCATGCAACTACAATAAGCGTTTCAGAAAATGGCATTTAATTTAACTATTTTGCAAGGATGCTTAGTGTTTATTTTGATGACTCTCGACATCAGTCATGCTACAAAAAAGGTAAAATGGGCCAAAATGAAGGAGGCTGTCCAAGCTAAATTTCCTCCCCGAAGGACAGAGAGAAGGAAAGAACCGCACCACAGACCCCAGGTATTTCTGCAAAATAAGAGGGCGATGGCTTTGGTCTTCCAGCAGGGCACTCAAAGACTGCAAGGGCTGCAGACACCGACAGCTTAAAGGAATAAATAATCAGATTCTCAACCTGCACTTGTATATTTTTTTCCTAGAACGGGTCTAAAATACTACCTTCCTTTCCATTCCCAGCTCTGCTGTGTACTCAAAGGGCAGACTTTCTCACCTTCCCTACAGCTGTTAAAATCTCCACTCATTTACCAAAGGGCAAGTAAGACAATCCACGAATCTCCCAAGTCAGGCACTGTGACGGGGGCTTCTTGGTAAACACGAGTTTGAGATGAGTGAAGCACAGCACTAGAAGTGGGAGCACTTGGGGTCTTGCTTTGGACTATTCCAAATTCAATTACGTATTAAAAACATTAAATACACACACACACACACACACACACACACACACGAATGGAACGGAAGTGAGGATGGTTCTCGTTTAATGACTGTCTCTTTCATCCCCGATTATTTTCAAAGATGTCATCAATACGGAGCTACAGTCCCTTGATAGCGAAGGAAGCACTGGTGCCAGGAGGTAAACACAGTGCTGGCTTTGGGACCTTTTCTTCCTCCTTTTCTCTCCCTCCTCATCCATCCATTAGAATTCAGAACTCAAAAACAAGATAAGCATCACAAGATACCCAATAACACACTTACTGAACCAAAAAATGGTATCAGATCTTGAGACAGAAAGCAAGTTTTGCAGGGGTAAACTGGTGCCCACTACATGAAACAGCAGTTTCCACAAATGAGTGAGCTACATTAGCAGCTCCAGGGTCCTGACAAAAATACACTTTTAAAGGACAATGACAAATGCTTACAAATACTATTTTATCTTTCAGAAGGGACATTCTGAGTTAAAACCGGTTTGCATGTAAGTAAAAAGGAAACAGGTTCAGTAAACAATTGCTTGAGAAATTTTGGTACAGCTTTTTGGGGGTACTTCTGACACAAAAAAAAGCCTCTAAAGGTTGCATAATTTCTTCCGTAAGTCAAATAATTTCCCATTTTTTACTTTCAACATAATTGAACAAAGACCTAATCAAGCCTTCATTTTTGGCAAAGTACTCAAAAGAAATTAAAAGAATTAAGGGATATTACTAGAATAAAATTCCTACCATCCCATGTAATTTGTTCATGATTTTTCAGTGCTTATATCTCCAAAAAGGAAAAACAGGAAAAAAACTAATATTGAACTCTAAGTCCAGTAACTTATTATTTTTATATTTATTTAGAAACTACTTTTTAAAAGCCCACCCACTCCATTATAAGTTGTAATTTCACTGCAGTATCTATTTAACGATTATTTTGATGAATGATTTAATGATACAATGATTTATTAATTTACTTGTTTAGGTCAACTGTTAATTAATTATAGCAAAAACAGCAACTTAGTCTAGGAGAAATTTCTTTTAACACTCATATCTGAGAAAATGTTTTCTAATTTATACAGATACACATACACACACATGAATACGCTAGCAACAGATACATGATGAGGTGACCAGTAAAAGACTTTTAAGCAAATGAGTTTATTACATCAAAATACAATGTAAGAGAAAAATAATTTAAGAAAGATGAGTTCAGATGGGAAAAAGAAACAATATAAAAATTCTAGCTCATAAAGGAGGGTTGGTTCATGTATTTTTTAAGAAGACACGATGTGGTTATAAAATCACTACAAATTTAGATTCAACTAAATATGTTTTAAAAATTATTTTTAAATGTTAGTTTTTACAATACACCCTTTTTTCACGATTTCTAAGTGTGTGAAGATTTTTCTAAGATTTTTGAAATGACTACCGTTTCTTCTTCATTAGTCAACTGCTTAATCCAAATAGTCAAAAGGGGATTAAAAAGTAAAGTACTATTACATCTTTTGCAACTACCCTAACAAAAAGTGTACACGTCACCTTGAAATATTCAAGGGAGTATGTAGTTCTACATTAACTTAATTATTTGAAGGTGACTGCTCTCAAGAACTTTCTCCAGGGAGTGGATGAGGTGGACCAATTTACCTCCTGGCTCTGGAAAGTTCCTAGGAGTTAGAACTGTATTTTCCAGTCATTTCACTGGATATTCTTGACCCTAACAAGCAGCCAATGGGCTCTGGGTAGTGTTAGAACCCTTCGTGCTTTCCTGAGTCCTGTCTGGATGATGTGATCCAAGGCTCTCTCTGGAGGTCACAGGTCTCTCTCTCTCGGGTGGGACTTGGCTAAGGAACTGCAGTGGCCCCTCATACCAGTGCTTCCTCATCCCAGGACACCTACTTGAGTCCTGAAATCACAGAGTACTGAACCCTACAACTTCAGGTCTTTCCCATCTTCAAGAAGACTTGTCATGCATTGTGAATGTTATGGCTTCTATCTAGTTGTCCCCCCAAAGCTTTATGCAGTCATGCCTGGGGAATTTTGAAGATGACTGGAGGATTAGGGTGTATGATGCTGGGGTTAAGGGTGTGATACCAGGGTTAAGGGCGTGGATAATGGAAGTCCCATCCAGGGTATGGTGGCAGTCAGGCTTGGAGCCTGGATGGAATGCTGTGTAAAGGGACAAGAAGGCAAGCTTGCTGCTGCTGCTGCTTGCTGCCTGCCATGCCATGGACTGTTTCTCCTCTGTCATGCCCCTCTGCCATGGCCTCCTGCCTTGGGGCCAGTCAATTGTGGACTCCACAAACTGTGACCTGAAATAAACCTTTCCTCCTTTAACTTTGGGTGTTGGGTATTTGTGTCAGCAAAAAGAAAAGGAACCAAGACGGCAGCCAAACTTTGGCAGTTTGAGGCGAGACAGCATAGCTAGTGAGAAATTATTTTTCCTTCTTCACAGTTTCATGGACAGAAGATTCATTCTTACTGTAGATCTTAGCAATCTCAACACAGGATTTTTTTTTTCTTTCCTCATTAAGTTGGGAACTCTCACCTTTTCACTTAGAGGAAAGACTTTACAGCTTCTCTTTGGCATATCTGAATCCCAGTATCACTGCTCTTGGCTTTTAGGGCCATTTTTATGTAAACTAAGAGTTGCCTGAATACAAGTCCTGAGATATTTCAACAGATGTGATAACCAAGACACACTAGACAAAGGAAGGAGTCACTTCCTGGGCAGGATGGAGCAGTATGACACAAGATTTCACCACACCACTCAAAGTGGTGTGCAATTTAAGACCTATGAACTATTCATTCCTCGACTTTTCTATTTAATATTTTCAGACCATGGTTGGCTGTAGGTAACTGAAACCACTAAAGGCAAAACCACAGATAAGGGGAGGGAGTGGGACTACTGCACAAAGAAAGCTCATGTTTCTGATGCCTGGATGGCCCCCAGTTTCTGTCAGGAAGTTCCACTCACTGCTCATTCACGGTCAAGGTTAACAGAAGGCACTGGGCTTGGCCATGTCCTTGTGGCCCTACTTTTAAATGGAAAGCATATAACAGAACCCTTAAGTGAGTGATGCTCATACTGGTTTCTCCATCAACTCTTCAACTTATTTACTGTCATCAGAAAAGCAAGCTATTAAACCTCTTGGTGCCTCAGTTTCCCTACCTGTTAAACAATGATATCAGAGTCATCTCCTGGGATTATCTGGACTTAGAGGCACACACAATACCAAGCTGGCACACAAGAGTTTAATTTATCATTACATGTAAAATTTAGAATTTTAAAAGTGAACTCAAGAAGGAAAAGGCAGGAACCAGTCGATAGGCACCAGTGCCCCTCCACAAGTGGCGTGCCTCTGAGGGCACAGGGTGGGATGAATCACCCTGCTATCTCCTGTTCTTTGGCTCTGGGTTCTGCCTTTTGTCAGGCTCACTCCCACCTGGCAGCAGCAGCCTAGGCTCTGCTCTGAAGTTGCCTGCAACTCACCCCCTATAAGAGCAGCACCTCATTCCTGGAAACTGAACCCCAAGACACACAGTTACTGAGCAGGAAACTCCCAAAGCTTAGGTCCCCCATTCCTGGGCTTTCCCTATGACAAGAGGTGCACATGGGCCCCCCAGTGCTGTCACATCTTGCCAGCAGGATCCTGTGCAGACCTCCCACCTTGCACAGCACGGGTCTTCTTCCCTTAATGTCCCCGGGGAAGTGGAAATGGAAGAGGTACAGCAGACTGACCTGGCTGAGGGGTCCTGATTTGCCCAACAAGCAGGGAAACTTACGTTAAGAGTGATGAGAGGAATGACGACCGGTCTGGCTTAGCATCAACTGCATCTGGAGGTGCGGAATCGCCAGCCCCCTGCTCTGCAACACGTTCCTGATCATCTGCCATCTGGGAGGAACAGAAAGACACCAGAAAATTGGCATTCACTCATGTCACTGGCATCATGATATTTGTAAATGACACTCAGTAGGTGACACAATTTTAAATGAAGCACAAGGGTTACTGTCCACATTTAAGCTCCACAGTTACTATACCATCCAGTGCCTTCAAATATACTCCACACATCATTCCAGAAGAAACCAGAGCCCCTGCCCCTGGGGAGCTTCTAATTTAGCATCCACACTTTTGTTAACTGTTCATTGTGTACAAGAAATAGAGGAAGATTTATTTATCAAAGGTTATCACAACTCAAACACCCCCTAAATTTCCGGCAGGTCATGAAGGGCTCATGGTTTGCCCAGCATTGCTCAAAGACAATTCAGCAGCAACCTGGGGTGTTAAGCTCCCTTTCTGTTTGAGATGGCTTTATGGGGTCCTACAAAAATAGATTTCTATCCATTTATTTTCCTGCTCCAGCATCTTCAAGAGATCCCCATTATTTAACAGTTCAGATCTTAACTCATGTGCTTGGATTTCCAGCCCTGCATTGTGTGGTAAGGGTGTTAGCAAACATGGTCCCCACCACCTGCTTTGTGAATAGAGTTCTACTGGATCCCAGCCCTGCCCGTTCATTTACATTCTGTCTTTGGTGGTTCTCTCTCAGCAAGCAGAGATTATGGCCCACAATGCCCAAAATATTTACTACCTGGCTGCATACCCATGTTCATTCACTACACAGCTCTCACATTTGTCTTCTTTGTTTGCACTCTGCCAGTAGTTTGGCTCCAAAGGACAATCAATATAAATTCATTAGGGCAGAGGCATCTGGCACACAGAGGTACTTATTAAATAAGTATTAACTGAGTGGAAGGCTGGAGGAAATGCATGCTCCAAAGGAAAGGAATTCCCTTGAAAGAGCCAGATCAGGCTCATTTCTCACAAATCAAGTCCTGTTTCACTCCTCAGGAATGGATCAGGGACTCACTTTCAGCAGCAATGGGAAACCTCTCCAGACTCCCATTTCTACCTGGTTTCAACCTCTGAGGGAGTCTCCTGGGCAGCCACAGCGGCAGGTACAGTTCTGCATACCTGTCAAGGCTCACTGGGGATGGTTGCACTCAGCTAGAAAACCAGAAGGCATCTATTTTACCAATCATTTTGTGTTCTGAGCACAAATACTGACTTCTGGAGGTAGGAAGGATGAATCCAACTCAGAGAGGGGATGCCTGTGGAGACAAACTGAGGCCAGATGGCTTTGATCTTTGAGTGTCATTATGGCCTTAGCTTCCAGCTGACCTGGGGATGCATGGGCAGTGGAAGAGAACAAAGAAGGAGGGACAGTCCCTCAGTACCACGGCGATCATGACATGTGTCTCTCAGCACATCATGGGTTTCCCTTCTTTTGCCACCAACGTGTTTGGGGGGGGGCAGATTTTTCAGATTAGGACCCAAGATGTTCCTCAAAAATAGAGATAAGCCCATCCACAGCAGAGTTAAGCAGAAGGGCAGGCATGCAGAAAACACTCAACAGTTTTCATTTTCTTTCCTCCATACTTTTAGACCTCCTTAGCTTTCAGTGGATTAGCAAAGCATTTTCCAAATTTACAAGTAAAGTCTTACAAAGTCCACCCGAAAAAGATGCTACCTTCAACATGTAGAGCTAAGTCTTGACTTTTGCTAAAATTAATCTTAAAGGCTGAATCTAGGATGTGTGGTAACAAAAATATGTGACTATTACAGAAAGAGAAACATGTCGCCATGAAGGTGGAATAGGAGACTCCAGCCCCATCCTTACACAGAAAGGACAACCTTGGCAATGACCCACGGACAAGAACGCCTTTGTGAGAGCGCAGAGTCTGCCGCACCTGGTGGAAGAAGACTCCAGCACATGGATGCAGGAGAGAAGGGAAGGGGGTAGTTTCCCTTCACCCCATCACCCTTCCCCAAGACAGCAAAGCAAAACGAGAGCTCTCAACAAAATGAAAAAGCAACTTATGGTATGGGAGAAAATACTTCCAAAGCTTGTATCTTGTGAAGGGTTAATATCCAAAATATACAAGGAGCCCACCCAACTGAATAGCAAAACCCACTCAATTTGACAAGATAGCTGGTTTGCATCTGGCACGTCCCCATAAGGCTTGGTCTCCAGTTTGCTTCTACCAGGAGGTGATGGAAGCACGGTGGGAGGCCTGCAGGTCATGGTTGGGGCGCCTTCAAAGGGGACAGTGAGAGCCAGCCCCTGCCTCTCTTTCTCACTTGGCAGACGTGAAGAAAATGCCACAATGATGTATGACTTTACCACAGGCCCAGAGGTGCCCAGTGGATCACAAACTGCAACCTCCAAAACTGGAGCCCAAACAAACCCTTTCTCTTTCTAAATTGATGACCTCGGGTATTGGTTACAATGATGGAAAGATGACTAACAGACTTGAACAGACATTTCTCACAGAAGACACACAAATGGGCAGCAAGTGTAAGAAAAAGTTTCAAGTTACTTATCATCAGGGGAATGCAAATTCAAAGCACAATGGGGTATTTCCTCACACTTGTTAGGATGGTATCATTTTTTAAGAAAGTTTGGTGACCATTTGGACAAGAGAATTTTTATATAGTGTTGGTGGGAATGCAAATGGGGTACAGCCATTATGGGAAACAATGTGAAGGTTCCTCAGAAAATTGAAAATAGAAATGGTATGTGACCCAGCAATCCCGCTTCTAGGTATATATCCAAATGAATGGAAATGAATACCACAAGTAGATATTTGTATTACCTTGTTTATTACAATATTATTCATAACAGTCAAGACATGGGAACAATCTAAATGACCATCAACAGATGGACTTTTATTAATTTAATTTAATTTTAGACAGTCTTGCTATGTAGTCCAGGCTGGCCTCAAACTCACAATCCTCCTGCCTCAGTTCCCCAAGTGCTGAGATTACAGGTGTGTGTCACCAAGCCTGGCTCAGGCGAATGGGATTTTTAAAAATGTGATCTATTCCAGATACTGATAGACTATTATTCTCCTTAAAAAAATCATCTTACTATTTGTGACAAGATACATGGATCTGGAGGGCATTATGTTAAATGAAATAAGCCAGACAGAGAAAAACAAATACAATACTCTCTCACTTATATGTGTCATTGAGAGTCAAGCTTATAGAAGTAAAGAACAAAAGGGTGGTTGCCAGGGGTGGGGGGAGAAGGAAATGATAGTCAAAAGAAATAGAATTTCGGTTACAGCAGATGAGTACCTCCTGGAGACCTACCACACAGTATAGTGCCTATGGCTAACAATATTGTACAATATAGTGAAAATGTCCTAAAAAGTTAGTTCCTATGTTAAGTGTTTTTACTCCACACCCACATAAAATTACAATAAAGAGGGCAGGAGGAAACTTCAGAAGATGCTGGATGTTGATGGTGAATTAGATTTCACAGGTGTATATACCTGTCTCCAAACTTAAATGCATATATTAAATATGCACAGCTTTTTAAAGATCAATTGTACCTTGATAAAGTCATTTAGAAAACCAAACATTTTAATGTTGTTGGGTTGCTAAGAACTTTAGAGACTCCTCTTCATTCATTTTCATTCATTCACTGAATATTACCTGGAAGTCCAAGGCCCTAGGATTATGACACACCTGGGACCTGTGAGCAAAGTGACCTGGCCCTGCCATGATGGGGGACAGATAGTGAGGAAAGATGGTACAAAATGTCAAATTGCAACTGTGTCGTGTGTCCTGAGAGCAGACAAAGAGTGGCCATCCAGGGGTCATCACTGAGCCACAAAGGCGTCAGGGGACAATCTCAGGGGAGGACGTGCCTGTCCTGAGACCTGGAAGGGGAGGCAGAGAAGCCGGGGTGGGGAATGCAGCAGAGAACATCAGAGTGTTACACAGAAAGGAGAGGACAGCTCCAGGTCGCTCTCTTTCCCAGCTACAGGGGGCCTCGGCCACAGAGATGAACAGGGCTGCTTTCTACAGAGCGGTGGTGGGAAGCTCTCCCTCCACACCGAGCCATCAGGTCTTCGGTAGGAGACCAGCATTTGGGGGTTGCCACTGGACACTGTTTAGGGAGGCAGGATGCCTTCCTGCCAATGATCTAAGTCAGCAGTAGTGGACTTGACTCCGAAATCTCTAACTAACGTTAAACATTCAGTCGCCTCCTTATTCTTATAGGGCTGGGCTTGAGTTTTGGAACCATCCGAAGTGCCCAGGGTGAGGCTGTCTGACCTCGGTGAGGCCAACACTTGGTTTTGATCCTTGGTTTCCTTTTATCCTCACAGCAGCCCACCTAGGAAACCCAGGCCATCTCAGATCCACGTCTGGAGAGAGACTGCCTGGTATTATCTTCTTGTATCTGTGTTATTCCAGGGTTATCACTTATCCCTCTGTTAAATACATCTAACACTTTTAAAAAGGATTTTTCCTCATTGCTATGGTCTGTTCTCCAAGGATTGAAAGTTGGTTCCTAGCATGGTGATGTTAAGACTTGGGAGGACTTAAGAGGTGGAACCCGGGGGAGGTGATTAGTTCTTGCTGGGGACACTACCCTCAAGAGAACTTAAGGTAGCTCTTGTGGGGCCCTGAGTTGCTTTCTCAAGAGGGTTGTTGTCAAAGAACCAGCCTGGCCATCCCCTGGCTGCTCTGGCTTTCTGTCTCCCAACGTGATCTTTCCTTGCATGTGTGATGCCATCCACCATGAGTCCTTCACAAGAGCTGCACTGATGCTGGCACCATGCCCCTGAACCTCCAGAACTGTGAGTTAATAAACTTCCTTTTAAAATAAAGTTACCCAGACGCAGTTATTTCATCACAGTAACAGAAAACTGACTAGTACACATCCAAGGTACTAACGATGCCAGGAACATAGTAAGTCCTGGTTATTGTTATTATCCTTACTGTTATCCAACAGAATTGTAACTGTACGCAGATGGAGAGTTTACTTTAATCATCCAGAAGTGTCAGGTACATGGTGGCATCCAACAAATATTTCTGAAACTGAATAAGCTACTGGCCAAAGAGCAGCAGCCAAGGGACCCGGGAGGGTGGTTAAGAGTTCTGGTGTGGCCACCAGCAGATCTGGATGGAATCAGCTCTTTCAACGTGTTAGCCATGGAAAGGGTACTCAACCCTTCTGAGAGTTCTCGTCTGTAAAATGGGAAAACGCTGGCGCCTAACTCACAGGCGGCTATGAGGACCAATCCAACAATGCACACAAAATGCTGGGCCTGGTGTGGCTCACTCTAAAAATTCAGTATTCTCTACTATCACCACTGACTCCAAGACTGAGAATACACTCAACTGTCAACTTTCACTGATACTTTAGCACCATATTCATATTTTATACAGCTTTTGTGGAGACTGAACAAAGACTGGTGTAGTGATTATTTCTAAACGTACTTAACAGGCGTGTATATGATGGGAGCACATGCTACATAGCGGAGCAGAGAATCACTTCCTAGCCACTGCCTGAACTTTGGTTTTTCCACAAGGGCAAAATGGACTCATTGCAGCTGCTTCCTATGTGCGAAGTGACATCATACCACTTTTGCCCCACTTCTTGCCCAAATAAAAGACATTCTTCCTGAAAGGCTCAAAGAGTAGAACCCCACTGACCCAGCCCCTGGTCCGGAAAGAGGGAGCTCTGCCTGGCACTCAAGTGCTCCACAGTGTCACTTGAGGTTCACAGCTCTCCTCAGAGACTGTCTGAAACTAAAACTTCAATTCCTCCAGAGAGCTTAAGGAACCTGCCTAAAGCCACGCTGTTTACAGGCAGCAAAGGTGGATCATAAACCTACCGACAGCAGTATTGAAAAGGTCAGGGTGTCCAGACTCGGAAGGAGGAAACGCCCTGTAAGTAAAGTAATATCAGGGCCACTCAACCCGGAGCTCCTTGGAAAGTTCTGGGAATAATTCACCCAGAACTACCGACACGTAATTTTACTTCCCCATAAACTGGAAAGCTGCATAAGAGGGAGAAAGGCTGCAAGGTTGCCTGGAGACCAAGAGTCCAAACGACCAACTGCGCCTGCCTGTTTCCCAGCTTGGGTACCTGCAAGAGCCCAGCCCCTGTAGCACCCCACGAACGTTGCTCAAGCAGAGCGCTGCTGCGCCCCACAACCCCCTCCCTCCCTCCATACAGCGACAGCCAGTTATCACCAAGAGTCCTGCTTACTGGGCAGGGACGGAAAGGGTCGAAGTCCCACAGCCGGCAAGCAGCAGTGTGGGCCCGGGAACCCAGGCCTGGCAGACGGGAGCCTCGCAGCACTTAGCCTGTGCCAGACTGCCCTTCTGCCCTTCTGAACTCACTCCCCCTGCCAGCCTGTCCAAAGGCGACAAGATACCTAAGGCCCCAGGGTAGGAGGGAAGAGAAGCTGCCCCAAACCAGCGACGGAGGGGCGAGGAGAGCCCGTCCCCAAGTCCCAGCGCCAGCCTTCTGGGCCCCTTGTCCTCCCGCTCCCACCCCGGCCGGCTCCGCGACAGCGCCGGCGGCGGGCGCGAAGGGAAGGGGGCGGAGGAGGCAGGGCGCGAGCGGGGCCGGGTCACGTTACCGTTCCCAGTTCCCACGGTGGCTAGGCGGCCAGACCTCACGCGGTCTCAGTTCCTCCGCAACTGAGGTCCGGGGCCGCAGTAGCTAAAGCGAAAGTGAAAGGACCTAGGCCGTCGGGGGAGGAGCCGCCCGGACCGGACGCGGAGCCACGCCCGCGCTCCTCCAGATCTGGGGCACGCACAGGGCCGGCCGGGGAGCGGCCGCCTCCGCGCACGCGGCTCGAGCCACCTGCTGCTCTCCGGCCGCCCACTCCGGAAAGCTGACTGCGTTCAAACGCGGGCCACCAGCGCGGTCTGCAGCGCCCTCTGCAAGCTGCTGGCCATGCGCACCGGAGCGCGCGGACAAGGTCTGTGGAGATTCGAGGCGTCCGGCCGCGCAGGCCCCAGCAGGCAGATTGGCCAGAAGCGGGCACCGCGACTTCGGGGTCCTGCCCCTTCCCCCGCCGCCTGGCTGTACCTCGCGGGAGTCTGTTCCCGTAGCCAGAAGGCTTGTCCCGCAGTGGGCCCGTCTGTGCCGTCCGCTTCCTGCGGGCCCCGGCGCCTTCCCCCTTTACCTTCCCCAAGGCTGAGGCCCGCGGGCCAACTGCGCTCGCCGGCTCCGGCAGCGTCCCGGGTGCTGCTTCCTCTCCTTCCGGCGCCTGACAGACGCTTAACTCAACTTTTTGTTAAGCAAATTCTCCCCTCGCAATCCAACTGGATTCTCCAAGAAATATTTATTGAGCGCCCCCATGTGTCAGGCACTAGGTATGTGGCAGTGAGTTAGTGCGCTCGTAAAGGAGTGCAATGGGGTAATCCGGGTCCGCGGCTCGCCAAGGGTAAGAGTTAATTAAGTCGAGGACAAAGGAGCCAGACTGCCGCCCTTGCAGCCACTTCAGCCCCTTTCTTTTTAAGTGTTACGGACTTTAGGTTTCCTTTCCAAGAACAAGCAGCCGTTGGCTGATAAGACCCGGAGACCACAACTTTCACCGTCCTGGGTAAACTGCAGCTGGCAGCTGTGACCGCCCAAGATCGCTGTCCTTGAGGGAACTCTTGCTCCCGCTTTGTTACAGCTTCTCTCCACTGCTGTGTTAGAACCCCGTGGACTGTAAGAGAATTGCCTTTCCGGTCACTTCAACCGGATTGGTCCCTCTCAGGCCTCTAGTGAAAACTTGTCCTTGGCTGTGGAGCTTATTTTTTCCTTCTAGTTGACAACCGCGACCCCTCCGACACACAGGCTCGCCCACATGGAGCTCTCTTCGCTCCTGGGTTTCCAACAGAGGCTTCTGATGCCTTTCATCCCAAGACTACTCACGGGAGCAACTTAATTAGTTCACATTCACACTATCTGAGGTGAAATTGTAGTTTTATTTCCACTAGAGATTATTTACTTTTAAGATCTACCAACATCTTGAGTGGAAGGAGTACAAAACTTACAGCAACCACAGCTTACGTGGGTTGTTGCTTGCTTTCTATTGGGCTTGAGTCTTAGGTGTTGTCTCTGAGGTCTCGGTAAGGATAATTTCTTGGTTTCAAGAAACTGATCTCAAGATAAGCAGAGGAATAACTGTAACTGATTAACTTCTGTTAAAATATTGAACTCTTAATTTTTTATTTTTTTGGTACTTAGGACCTTGCACTTGTGAGGCAGACGCAGTGCCACTGAGCTAAATCCCCGGCCCCTTAAATATTTTAATAGATATTACCTGATTCTTAATACGGTTGCTCTAGTTTTTATCTAATATCTGTACTCCTGAAATGGTGGTTGTAATCTAAATCATTTTAGATACTAAGATAATCTTTTTTAAGGAATTTGTGAATCATTTGAGAAATAAAGAATCTTATTGGTAAAATGAGTAAGTTATTCTCTGATTTATCAGACTGGTAAACCTAGGATTTTGCAAAATATTCTTGGAATACAGTGAAACAGGAGTTAAAAGAGGCCGGAACACCTTATCTTGGTTCATGGGATGCTAAGGAATCTAAAGCTCAGAGAAGTTGCCCACACTCAGGCTTTTGTAAATCATGATCGTGATATCTACAAAAACTGAATTGTCCATTTGTCTAGTTGTCCATGCTGTGTAAATTATGAAATGTGTTACAGTGCATCCACGTGCAGGAATCCATAGCTGACTCAAAGGAAGTAGCTTGAAGGGAAATCTTTTTTTGATTCTTTATTATAGCCTGAGAAATTCCAAAGTTACTGCTCTGAGGCTGTATCATCAGTATCAACAAATAAAATGAAAATGTAAAAGGCGAGAGACCGTCTTGAACTTTTCCTTCCTTAATAATTGTACTGACACTTTGGATCCAAATGCTATTCTCTTCTGAACGTATACCCAGTGTTGTGTGATTGTTCTATGCCTCCCTGCTGTACTCCAGGACTATAGCACAACCTTCTTCCCCTTCCACCCGAGATGTCCCCCAGCCTCTCCTATCTGGATGGCATCCTGAGGGTTGCCTTTGTGACTGCTCCTAGGCAGATTCCTCTGGACCTTCCCTCTAGCCTTCTGCTCAGGTCTTCAGGCTCCACTGAGAGGCCCACCCCATCTCCTGCACCCAGAGCCTCTGAGGGAAGCTGTCAGTCATAGCTCCTCCAGTTCTCCACGTGACAGCCCCAGCCAGGCTGTAACTGTACACTGGATGTCCTGAGGGATACCCCAAAATTAATAGAAATGCCACTTTCAGCACCCAAAGGCCCAAACTCAAACTCTGGCCCCTCTGAGGTACCAGGAAGCTTTTGACATATGGGGAGAGTGAGAATCCCAGCATCCAGGCAGCATCCCTTTCTTCCTTGAAAGGAAGAATTCATGTTGTACTTGTTATCGGCTGATTGCCTCTTGACTCTGAATTCACCCTTTTTGTCTGTTCTGTGAAAATTCACCTGGGCCCTTTTAAGCAGTTTTCCTCTACAGCAGACTGAGGTTAAACTTTGTCTATAGGAGGCATTGGAGAGATACTACAGGATGGAAAGAGTTTAGTTTCCCGGTTTTGTGTCTGGTGTGCTTCTGCAGAAAGGGTGGCTTCTCAGCCCAAGTTTCCACAGTGTGCCTGATGGCCAGATCAACCAGTGACCAGCAGCTTCCCCGGCACCCGCTTCAAGTGGTTTTATAGCAGAGTGTCTCCTTTAAGACACTTCTGCAAGAGATCAGCTTCAAAACACACTGAGCAGGCTTTCTAAGATATTATTGAATTGGCTTATAATTCAGCTATTGATTAAAATTATGTTATTCCAAATTATGTCTTTATGTGACTTGCTAAAAGAGCCTTGGCTGGTGTACAGAGACAGACTTCCCTATACCAGAGGTCACAACTGAGATCTCAGGTATCAATGAGTTTGTGATGTCTCTAATAGCAAGATGACACTACAGCTGAAGAATTATGACACTTTACAGCCATTCTCCAAGATCAAACATTAGCTAAAGATAACACAGGTGGCTTGTTAGCTACAACCGGCAACATATCACAGGTGGCTTCTTAACTATGACCCATCCTTCACAAGTATACGTAGTTACTCCTCTTTTACAACCTGGCTTGTTGGTGCCTTAAATCCCACTGTTCCCTACATCTGCCTTTACATCCCTTGCTATGTTGTATAATCATAAATACTGACAAATCCAGAGATCGTGGTCTTAGCCAGCAAAGAGCTAAGATCAAATCTCAGCCCCCCAAGTAATAATAAACTACCATTCGTTCTTACTTTATTCTTTGTTCCATTATTCTTCTATCCTCTGCTGTACCCCTAATCAGGTGTTCAGGCATCCCCCGATAACTGGTGGTCGAGCTTCACCAGATACACCTCTGCAGGAACTGCTGCCTCTGGCACTGAGAGAATAGACTTCCAGAACATTCTAGCGAGTCTCAAATCTCCAGCGAGTCCCACTGGCACAGCACCACAGTGACTTCTCTGCCATCTAGCAAGCTGTAGAAGTGCTCTCTTTGACGAGGTCTGGACCTCAGCTCTGAGGAAAGGAAGAAGAAGGCCTTTGTGTTGTTATGTTTTGGGGGGTGAGGTACTAGGCCCCAGTAGTGTATTTGGGGATAGAGTCGTTAATCAGGTAAAACGAGCTAATTAGGGTGGGCTGTATACAATATAACTCATCCTTATAAGAAGAGATTAGTATGCAGATAAACACAGAAAGACAACCATGTAAGGATATAGGGAAAAGATGGCCATCTATAAGCCGAGATGCCTCAGAAGAAATCAACCCTGCTGACACCTTGTTCTTGGACATCTAGCACCCAGAATAATGAGAAAATAAATTTCTGTTGTTTAGGCCACCTAACCTGTGGTACTTTGTATGGCATCCCTACCAAACTAATACATATGTTATTGGCACGTATATTTTAGAGTTCTCTTTACTTCTTCTTAGCCAGTCTCTTGATATTCCAGTTCCCTGTGATAGTTTACAGTTTGTTGTATTCATCTTTCCCTGTTGGAATTATTGTGTGGGCTTTCTTTCCTGATTGGATCCAGACAGATACAACTGTGCATCCCTAATCCAGGAGATTCTCAGTTCTGGTTCTGTGGCGTTCAGCAGGGAAATACTCATTTCTTGACTCAGAGAGGAAAACTCTACCTCACCCACAGGGTGTGTTATGGTCCCTGGGCCAAGAGAAGGCAGACCCAGGTATTACTTACCCTTATGTAAGATTCCACTGCAGACAGTTGAAGCCCAGGCCAGATGTTCATGACTCATCTCCTCTGCCTTCTCCCTCCTTTGTATTAAAGGGCACACTGGGTCTGGTTGTTCCTAATGTCCTGTGAGCAACTTCTCAGATCAGGGTTGGCCGAACTCAGGCCTGCAGTCCTCCCTGTGGCTGTTTCTGTCCAGCACACAAGCTAAGAATGATTCTTAAATTTTTAAAGGGTTGTGAAAAACAAAAACAAGATGCAAGAGAGATGCATTGTGTGTGATCTACAAAGCTTAAAATATTTGCAGTCTGACTTTGTACAGACCTCTGTCTTAAACAGTACCCCCCATCTCCAAAGCAAATAGTAACTTTCAGCTAAGATTAGTCCCAAACCAGATATAAGCTTGGAGAAAGACAAAATATTTCTTTAATTTTCCTGGACACAATATTCCTTGTAGACCCAGTTTATACAGACCAACAGATCACATGCTTAGTATCTTAAGAGGAAGCCTGAGCATTGTCCAGCCTCACTAGTGTTCAGCTTTCCCCAGGGCCACAAGAGACATCTGCCTAACCAAGGTCACCACCACCTAGTGCTTATGCCCTAGCACTCATGGAGGAACTTTGCTCGGATGTCAGGGAACTCCTATCAGCCTGTGCCTCTGGAACATCACTCTGCCCCCATCTAACACCATACAAATAGCAAGGCACTTTGTAGGCAAGGTGCACCTGTAAGCCTCAGGGACCTGTAAGACTGAGGCACCTGTAAGGCTCAGGGATGGCAGTGAGGGTGGAATGGGAGGTTTGACCTGGGAAAGCATGAGAACTAGAGACAAGGCTCCGCTTTGTGAATTCTCCAACCCAAGTGTGACACAGTGTTGTCTGTGTAGTGAAGTGGATAGATAGAACAGATTGCGTATAAAGTATGTCTGCAACATACACAAATTTCATGTTTAGACTTGGGGCCCATGCCCAAGATATCTCAATACGTATATGCAAATATTCCAAAATTCAAAACTTTCTGAAATCTAGGACACTGCTGACCCTAGGGATTTTTGGATAAAGGATGCTTAAATTGTATCATCTTGGGAACCAGTCCTCATACACACCAGCCCTTCATTTCCTACCTCCTTGCTCCTGCTCCCTGGATATACATTTCCTAAGAAAGTCTCTGCATATAAGTCTTCGCCTCAGATTCTGTTTTCTGAAGAAGTCAAGCAAACACCCACACTGTCTGAACCACTCCATATAGCCAGAAGAACCTCTTGTGGCCACTGGTTTGGACTTAAGTGGCCTGATATGATCCCTGTGTCAAGGACAAAGAGGAGGAGCCGTACAGAACAGGAGGGCCATGATATGGGCCATGCACTGTGTCTATTAGTCTGTTTTCTGCTGTTGTAATTGAATCCCTGAGACAGTGATTTATGGTGAATGGAAATATATTTGGCTCCCAATCCTGGAGACTGGAGACGGGAGAGTCCAAAAGCATGACACCAGCATCTGACAAGGGCCTTCTTGCTGTGTCATCCATGGAAGAAGGCGGGGAGAGCAACGGAGTGAGCAGGAGGGGATAGTCTCACTTCATAACAACCCGCTCTCTCAGTGAGGGGTGATTAGTGGATTAATCACCCCTTACCAGGCGCCTGTGCCAACATTTGCACTGGGGATGAAGATTCCAACTCATGAACTTTAGGCGACACATTTAACTATAGCATCTGTCACACGAGGGAGGCCTGTGTCTGTCTTTCCCTGGCCATGAGTATTTGCTGCTAGTCACTTAAACTACCCCATTTCTAGTTCTCTGGGGTTGTTTCTTGCCTCAGTTTCTCATATCTAATGAAGCAGAAGTGACAGTACGGGTCAAATTAAGTATCTTTCATTTCAGTAACACAGGTTTTCACAAATAGCCTGCAAGCACGGCCTTTGGCAAGGAAGAAATGTTAAGTAGCCTCTCCTTCAATGGCAGTGATTGAGATTGCTCAGACCTCTAGACAGGGAGGAAGTTTATTCTCAGTGACTTGGGGGATTCTCGCCCCACTCTAAGGTAAGGCTTGAGAAGTCTGGTATAGAGCAAACCACCCGGAGTTGCTGTCTCCGTTGCCCTGCTGCCCTGGTCACATTTCTCATGGGAATGGCTTAGCCTGGAGTCCCCGCTTCAAGTTCCTTCCCTGCACAGAGACGAACACTGTGAGCTGCATGAGAGAATGTCAGGCCTGACCCTGGCCTTAGTTTCCTGTGAATGCGATTCTTCATTTTCTTTCTAATGTCTCTCTCTCCCCTGGCTGTCCTCATATAACACAAACAGGCCACAGATTTCTCTGCACTCTACCTGGGGCACCTTACCTAAATGGAGCGTGTAGGGGTCCAAGGTCACAAATCGGGAGCCTGAAAGAAAAATACTGCCATGGCCCTGTTGAATTGTTTTATTCTCAGTATTATATAAAACAAATTTATTTCATAAATTCAGGTTTCTAGCCTCTCCGGAAAAATCAGAATATCTGGCAATGCTGGATGTGGACGTGTACTCATACATGGTAGGGGTCCTTCAGGTACTCCTGGCCTCTCTAGGCATTTCAGTGTATTAAATTTATTTCATAAATTCAATAAAGACTTATCGAGTACCTTTCAAATACCAGGCCCTGTTCTAACCCCAGGGATAAAAAAGTAGCAACAAGGACTAAGTATTCTGTTTTGATGGAACTTAGAATTTTCGTGGGGGCAGCATAATTTTTAAAAATAGCTATGTTAATATTCAATATTTCAGGTGGTGATAACTGCTCTGAAGATGAAAAAGCAGAAGAAAAGGTAATGAGCTTGGGGTTGGGAGAGGGATAAGGTACCATTTTATATAGGGTTCCTATAAAGTGACAAAGTGACATTTAAGCAGAGACTGAAGGCAATGAGAGCTTCACAAAGCCAGGAAGAAAGATTTTTGTCTTCAAGCCACCCCTGATAAGGCCTGAGAGGCAAATGAATAAGCAGAAAGGCCTTTTTGGGACATTCCAGGATAATACACAAAGGCTGACACACCAAGAGTTCTCATTTGTTATTATTGCATTCCAGGAGAAGCTAAACAGAAAGTAATATCGTTCTAAGGGTATAGATTCACTGCTACAAACATTTTTAGTAGATAAAGCTAAAATTTGAGTATATTTACCCTTCTAGGAGAGTGAACCAATTCTACTTTATTTCCTGTACTTTGGGAGCTGGGCTGTCTGCTTTAGTCATGGGATGCCTACAGCCAGCTTTGCTAAATTCCATTGTTGGATGATGCATGGTGTATTCTTTAGGTTCTTTTCTTGGATTATGATCACAGCTGGTGCTCAACTACTACATGCTGGCTGATCATACAGCAGGATTTGGCTATCCACATAAACATGATGTGGTTGTGAGTTCACTTTTCTATTTAGAGAAGCTCGTCAGCTAGAAATACCTCCACTTTACTTCCCAGACACATGCGCACTGAGTGAGTTGCCAAAATAGCCCCTGGAGTAAGTGGCAACTTTAAAAACCAACCAGCTGCTGACTTCCAACCAGAAGGTCAGCAAAGGAAAGTGGAAGTTGGATTCTGAAGGATCAGGGTGCCCACAGGAGTTTAGTTGTGGTTGGGATTTTGGAGACTTGAACAACCAGCCTGGTGGTTTTTCCTGGATTTCCTGCCTGTGGCCTCTCTTTGTCTTCTGTCTTCAGACTCCACCATGAATGTGCAGGCTTGCTCTAGGTGTGGCTATGGGGTTTATCCTGCTGAGAAGATCAGCTGTATAGATCAGGTCAGTAGACAGTTCTTAGCTTTTGGAAGTAAAAACAAACATGGGAAATTTATCTTTTAAAGTAGGGATATGGGAGTTCATTTTTGCACCACAAGAAAAAGATATATTTCCACACCTTTGGACCATTTCTGAATCTTCTATATTGCCTGAAAGCAGTTTTCCATTTATTTAACATATTATATTTGTGCATGTGGCTTTTAATTTCTTAAATCATTGTCCCTAAATCTCAAAAATTTTTTACCTGTAACAATCTAGGGTCTGAGGAAAAAAAATAAGTAATCACCAAATCTTTTCTATGTGATTTCTAGATATGGCATAAAGCGTGTTTTCACTGCGAAGTCTGCAAGATGATGCTATCTGTTAATAATTTCGTGAGTCACCAGAAAAAGCCATACTGTCACGCGTAAGTGTGGAATGACCCCTCCCTGATCTCTTGAGTTTTGCTTGTTTTTCAATAAGTAGCCAACTAAAGTTTCAGCTCAAATACTCTAGGGTTAAATCCAAGAAATGTTCCCTCAAAATGTTCACTTGCTGAAGAGAGCCAATGTGGAATTTTATACAATGAACAAGTTTTCAGATTTTTTTTATAAATGATTAAATCTATCCACTGTAACCTAAAATTATTAAATGTTGTCCAGAACAATATAACTGCCATGGCTATGCATATGGAGCTTTTAAAGTGTTTTCCTTTAGATAATTTTCAAATTATTTTCTAGTTTTCACAAAGTTTTCCAGTGATCATATCCAATTAAATTTTATCTTTAAGTTTTAGTATATGTTGAGTTTATTTAGTTTGATTTTTTTTTCCTGTAAGACTCATTGCCTGGAGAATCCTGAACATAATTATTAAATTTTACATTTATTGATTTAAAAAATAACTATAAGAAGAACCACTCAATCACTTTGGATAAAGTGCATTTCTAATTTTGTTTTATATTTATTTTTATAGCCATAACCCCAAGAACAATAGTTTTACTAGTGTCTATCACACTCCATTAAATCTAAATGTGAAGACATTTCCAGGAGCCGTGGGTGGGGTAAGTCATTTTTGGATTTCAAAATAGCCTTTAAAGAAAATCCCTTTGCTCAGGCACCTGTTAGGTTTGTAAGTGTCTCTATGTGAACCCATTCATGTCCTCCACATACACATGCAAAGTGCATTTCAGTACCACATGTTGCTGTTTGTTCTCCTTCCACGTTACACAATACATGGGATAATCTAGGTTCCATATTTAAGGTCCTTGATTCTGATATAATCTTTGTGTCTGTCCAGCTCTGAACACACTGATCTTAGCTTACACAGTAGGCCTGGAAGACAGTAGGTGCTTAGCACATAAAACAAAGTTTACATGATTGAAAAATATTACAAAGGCTCTTCTTTTCTTTCTTTTGGGACATTTTGGTACAGAAAATTAAAAACTTCCAGTTCCACACTCTCAAATCTCTCTGAACTCAGTCGTTTCTTAAGATTATTTGTAGCCCCTGTTTCTCTTTAGGGCAGGAATAGGTCAAAGATGCGTATTTTGACTTAGAAATGAAGTTTGGTTTGGGAGGTGAGAAGTTGAGATGGGAGGTAGACAAGGAAGCCACATTGATAAATCCAACCTCTTTTGAAAAATTAACAGTGTTGTCAAATAGCTAGCTGTTGATTGAACTCTGGCATCTATTAAAATGATGAATCATTGAACATTTTTTTTTTTTTGCCCAGGCCCAGTGAAAAGTTGCTTTATACAATAGCCCTTAGCAGTGTTCTAAAATTAGAAAATTACCCATGAGATGAAGGGCTGTCTAGTAATCTCTCCTCCCCTGGGATTCCCTTGCTGAAGTTACCTGGCCGCATACTAACTCTTGGCTGCTGGGCTGTCCTTCTCCTTAGGAAAATGGGCCTCAGATACAACTACTGCCCATGTGCTAAGCTCTCTCCACTTCCTTGTTTCACTAAGTTACACAGCCAGTTTATATTATTATTTTCATTTAACGAATATATATAGCATTTATTAGAGAATTGTTCAATTCATGCCATGCACATTACAACCCAATGAAGTAGGTATTGTTATCCCATTTTACTGGTGAGGAAACTGAGCACAGATATTAGCTTATACATCTATTTCTAAGGATTCACAAGCCTTAAGAGTTCACAGGCAAGCTGAGCATGGTGATGCATACCTATAACCCTAGCACTCTGGGAGGCTGAGGTGAAAGGATTGAAAGTTCAAACCCAGCTTGAGCACCTTAGTGATTTAGCGAGACCCTGTCTCAAAATTAAAAAAAAAAATTAAAAAGGGCTGGGGATGTAGCCCAATGAGAAGGCCCTGGGTTCAATTTCCAGTACCTCAAAAAGCAATGAATTCACAAATTCATAAGCAGTCTTAGATTACTGAAAAGATTGATTCTTTTAGGACTTTCATTTTATCTTTTGATGTCTGAGGGTAGCTACATGAAACTACAATTAACTGAATTTAGCCCTTAACCAGAGTGCCAAACGCTCTGCTGAGCTCTTTATGTTTTCTCATTTATTCTTCCTGAGAACCCTCTGTAATATTATCACATTACAATTGAGGAAGCTGAAGCTCAGGGATGTTAAGAAACTTGTCCTGTTTCACTCAGTTCGTTAGGTACAAATCCAGCTCTGCCTGGTTGCACAATTCATATCATTGGCCCACTTCCACATATACCTACAGGGTTAGCAGACTCTCCAGAAACAAACAAGCACTTCTTTATGTTTCTATGTATCCAGAAGTTTTTGCAGTTGTGTGTGAGGAAACGGACTTCTACCTCAAAATGCTGCTTGGATGCCTTCCACTCTCTGTAGACAGGCCCACAGTGTCTGTACTTTCCCACTTGACCTTAAACCTTAGCTAGCAAGTCCACCTTACAATCATGTGACAAGTTTCACAATATTTACCTCTTCTTGAGATAGTAGTGGACTCACTTTCTTTTAACTGTGTATGACAGGCCCAGTCTCGAATGTGCCTAGGGATTATCACTGGTTCTATTTCCAGTCACGGGCAGTATACTGAGCTCCCCAGTAGGCCTATGTGTGTCTAATTGTTAACATCTATGTGACCATGTGACTATGTGTATATGTATGTATATGTGCATAAGGGGAGTATGTTTATGTGTATATGCAGGTGTAAAGATGTGTGCATGCAATACGTGCACAGGTATATACGTGTGAACGTATCTGTATGTGTTAGATATGTGTGTGTCACATGTGTGTGTGTCTGTAGTGTGACTATGCATGTTTATGTATGTGTGTATGGTGTGAGTCTGCACCAGTGCATGTGTGTATGTGCAAACAATTCACTACTGAGATCCCTCTCACCTCCTTTCCCACCGGGGAGAACCTGAGATGCACAACCATGTCCCTTCTAGGCCTCAGATCTTACAGTTGCAATACGGGGTGTGATGGGTTACTTTCTTACCCCCTTGCCTCTCTGAGAGACTTTGCCAATTGAAGAAAAACCAAATTCACTGTGCCTGTGCTAACATTTTTAAAAAAGAAGGAAAAGGGTGGTTCAGTGATGGTGACAGTGAAGAAAAGTAAAGTCTTGGAGCTAGCATTTGCAGCAGATTTATGTTTTTTTGTTTCCTAAATGTCACTTGTTGAAAAATAAATATTTACCAAGACAGAATTTCTTGTTTGGTGAGTGTGAGTAGAATTTTTATAGAATAAAACATCTACATTCTCATCTATTCAGAGGGAGAGCTTTCGCTCTTAATGTGACCATTACCAATAACTTATGGCTTTTTACCTCAGCCTTTCCGCAGTGTAGTCATGATTCTCCCGAAAGGTCTCTAGGATGGCAGATTTGCACTGCAGGGGCAAAAATGGCTTCCTGGAAGTGGGATAGACTTCCTTGTGCATATGGTTCTCTAGGAGGGTAGTTTTACCCCCAGGAGACATATGGTGATTATGTGGGAACAGTTGTAGTTGTCACAGCTAGGATGGGGGAACTCTTACATCTGGTGGGTAGAAACCAGGGATCTGTTAAACATCCTGAAATGCTTAAGAAACTCCTGCTGCAAAGTTTTAAATGGCCCTAAATGTCAGAGATCTTGCCTTCAGTCTATGTGATGTACCCAAAAGGAAAGGAAAAATGCATGTGAAGACTTTCTTTCTATTTTTAAATACATATATATATATATATATATATATATATATATATATGTATGTATGTATATATGAGCTGCCCTCAGCACCATTAAGCCATAGCAGGCTGGGAAGTCAATGACAGAAAATGATAGGGAATTAGAATTTCTGTGACTAAATTTTTGTCTTGTTTCTTTTTTATGTATAAAGCCAAGGATTGAAACTCAGCTTATAAAAATGTCTCATTTCTGGGGCTCATCTCAGATGTAATACATTTTGATAAGCTTCTGAGTTTTTCTTTTATGCTTAGTCCTTTCTATGTTTTCCTTAAGAAATCTTTGCCTATCCTAAGTCGTGAAGATGTTACCCTGGCCGTTCTCCCCAAATTGACCAATGTATGTATGCAACATAAATGTGACTATGTTATTCAATGCCATCTTAACTGAAATCACAGTGTATTTTGTAGACACTGGAAGAATGATTCTAAAGTTGATATGAAGACATGAAGGCTCTAGAATATATAGAAATCTTGAAGAACAAAATTTAAGGATTTAGCATATCAGACTTCATGATTTGCTATAAAAGCAGTAGTAATTCATTTGGAACAGGATTGGCACAAAAGTAACAACAAGACCAGTGGCCTAGATACATGGTACAGAAATGGAGTTTCTCATATATGATCAGTTCAATTGTGACAGAGTCACCACTGCTGTTCAATGTAGCAAGGAAGACCTTCCAGTAAAGTATTAGGGAGATTGGATGTTCATACGGAAAAAATGACACTTGACTTCTACCTCACATCCATGCACAAAAATCAACTCAAAGTATATTAGAGATCAAGATACTAAAGGTAAAGTTATATCATCATATGGAAAATATCTTCATGAAATTGGAGAGCCAGCATTTTAGTGAGTTCCGCAGGTGATTCACAGACTAAAGTGAAGAACAATAACGTGCATTGTTTTCTGAGGTGACTCTAAACTGGATATTTTGTGCGATGTGTTGACTTTATCTCAGCCTTTTTAATTGCTCTACTCAATAGAGCTTTGCGCACAGCAAGAGCTCAGTATGTGCTACCTGGCTTGTCGCACAGGTGAAACTCAGCAATATTGAGAATGGACTGTGCTTTGTATAGCAGTGAAGATGCTTTGCAGTTGAGACTTGGAGAAAATCCTCCAAATCGAGCTATGCATTATTGACTAATTTCCCCTTCTTTTCTCTTATGGTAACATTACTGACATCATCCTGTGCAGATCAATGGTCAAGAAGATGGTAAGCCCTTTAAATCGGTTTTTCACTGGGACATGAAATCCAAGGATGGCCCGAGTGCATCTGACAGGCAGCCGCTGGTGAATGAGGTGAGAAAAAGTAATCAATGGGTTTAGATAAAGAAAGAACAACACATTATACGAACAAAATATATTACACATACTATGCAACTGAAATGTACTTCTAGATAAAATCAAATTTGGTTTGCTTTCATTCAGTTTATAATTCCAGCTGTGTAGAGGAGACCTCTATCAGTGTGTCCTAGAAAGTACTCCACTGTATCTGGTCCAGTCCAGGTTCATTGTCTTGTCCTGTCCAACCACTGTGCTGCTGTCCCTGAGAATAGCCCTCCAGGCTTGAGACCAATGCTGCGCTTGCTTCCTTTCATATTTCACTCAGCCCAGCTCTTTCATCATGATCCCCACCATTCCTGCCTGGACTCTGTGAGATCCTGCCATGCTGGCTTTCCTGCTTCCATGTTTGCCTCTTGTCAGCCTAACTTGTGCATGCTTGTCACACACAGCTTCTAGGACGTCCCTGACTTTTCCCACCACCACTCTTTATTGATAGCCCCTTGTTTTCAAAATCCTTCAGCTCTCAGTTTTTAATTACACACATAATACTTGCATTTTTCTTACAGTAAAAAAAATCCTCACGGTACACAACTAATCCTTTATCCACTATCTCCAATCCCATTTCCCTCACTTGAAGTAACTACCGTTATCATTTGTTGTTGTTGTTTTTTTTTTTTTTGGTACCAGGGATCAAACTCAGGACCTCCCATGTGCCAGGCAGGTTCTGTGCCACTGAGCTACATCCCCAGCCCCTGTTATCATCTTGTGGGTATCCTCTAGACCTCTCTTTCTCTCTCTTTCTCATCTCTAGCAATCATCTAGCTATTTTTTGTTTACTTATATCTATCAATCATCTATCATCTATCTATGTATAACTTTCTAGTGCTTATGTTTGGGCTCACCTACTACCTTTAGTGACGGATCCCGACTGAGTTATTTAACTTTTCTTTGCTTCAATTTTCTCATATGTAAAATGAACTTCAAAAATTTTGTAATTCACAGAGCTGTTGTGAAGATTAAAAGAATAGATACAAAAATATTTGATAGCAGTAGGCATAATAAACATTGGCTCTAATTATTTTTATTGATATTTATATATGTATATTTCTTTCTATTGAAATGTTTTTCCTGTTTTTTTCATGAAACAATATGTATTGTTTTACAGTTTGTGTTTTTCACTCAACAAATATCTTGGAGATATTTCAACATCAGCATCCTTTTAAGTGCACCCCTGGGTGTACTATGGATGCACTGTTAAGAGTGTGTCTTAGTTACTTGCTTGTGGCTGAGACAAAATACCCCATACCTACAAATTAAAGGAGTAAAGATTGATTTATTTTAGCTCACAGTTTGTACAGGTTTCAGTCCATAGTCGACTGGCTCCAGGGCAGGGCAGTTTGGTGGAGGGCCATAGGAGAGGAGAAACAGTTCATGGTGTGGCAGGGAGGAAGCAGAGCAGCCATCAAGAGAGGAGGAAGGATATATTCCCTTAGGTCACACCCACACTGACCCTCCCCTTCTCATCAATCTTCACCTCTCAACATTGCACCCAGCTATAAACCCATCAGTAGACTAATTCAGTATCAGACACCCATGATCCAGTATCACCCATGAGCCAATCACCTCCCTGAAGCCCCACTTGTGAGCACATGAAGCTTTGCGGAGACATCTATCTATAAGCCATTACAGAGTGGATGTCACATGCTGTCCTATTATTGGACAGGAGTGTTTCCTTTTTGTTTTCTCTTACAAAGTTGCCCTTGTTCATGGCCCCTTTCAGACACAAGTGGGTATTTCTCCAGAATAGATAATGAAAAATGAGATTGCTAGGTCCAAGGGTATGCACCTTTTGAATTTTCATAGAAACTGTTAAATTACTTTCTAAAGTGGCTGAACGTTTTTTTATTCCTTCAGTTGGACTATGAGAATATCTGTTTCCCCACACACACCAATGCTTGGTACTACTGGGTTAAGATTTTAACACTCTGCATTTTGTTTCAATTCAGACTTTTCTGCTTGGTAGTATGGTGGAGCAAATTTTATATCCCTTTCCAGATCTCCAAAGCGTGGCTCTGCTCACCCTGTCCAACTCACCCCGCTGCAGCCCACCCAGCTCTCCAACTCTTCCCCCCAAGTACAGTCAACCCCAGCTTCTCGTGGTCTTTCCCATCTCTGCCTTTCCACTCTTCTTCAAGGCAGGCCACGTTCCTGGAATCCATTTAACAAATATTTGTGGAGTCTGTGGCATGGTAGGCACTGTCCTAGATTTTGGGTAACGATCTGTGAACAAAGCATGAAAATCCCTGTGTTTATGGAGCTGACCAGAGGGGATGCCATTCTTTTTCTCTTTGTCCTCAATAACTCACTTTTGTCCTGGAGGTCCAGCTCAAGTTCCATCTTCCTGCCAAAAACAGAGCCCACATCATACGGCTGCTTTGTATTCAACATACAAATGTTTTCTAAATACTGTTTTTTTCCTGTGTTACTTTTACCTTCAGAGGTAAATCATAAATATGTTAAAAGAAAAATTTTGTCTTCTTCTTTTCTTTTCCTTTCTCATTGTCAGTTGCTGAGCACGTAATAGGTGGTAGGCTTTTGAAGTTTGTCTCAATAATGCTGACTCATTATTGAGTCACAAGCCTGTCTGTAGGGACTTCCTCCTGCCCAGTGTCAGTGCAATGATGTGCAAAGAAATGTTAACTTCTATTTGTAATTTTCCTGTAATATCAGTGAATCTCTGGGAGTTCAATTATTTAGGATTTGAGGTCATTTTCTAGTCTGGAGAAATGAACATTTGAGTTAGCTAAGACATACAAACCAATAGGGGATTACAGTGTAGAGAAGAATATCTTATTTTGACAGCATATGTGCGTTATTGGGAGTATGGGATGGGGTTTGGAGTTTTGCCAACCCAATGTGTAGAGTGTGTATTGTATGCATCTTTGTACTTCCTTTGTAGAGAGGCTACTGGCCTGGATATGGGGAGGGGAATGCCTGGTGTCCAGGGGCTCTGCCAGACCCCGAAATCGTAAGGATGGTAGAGGCGCGACAAGCTTTTGGTGAGGTAAGGGCACTAGAAAGTACTCCAAGCAGTGGATATGGCAAGTAGTTTAAATGTTCCTTTATTCTTAAGATTGTGGTAGATAGAAATTGGCCCTTCCCCCAAAGATTCCCATGTCCTAATCCCTGGAATCTGTGTATGTCTTACATGTCCAGGAGAGTTTGCATTAAAGATCTTGAGACAGGAAGATGGAAGGTTCTTAGGATGGGCCCTAGGTAAGCACGAGGGAGGGAAGAGGGTCAGAGTCAGAGAGAGGTGAAGTGATGACAGAAACAGAGGTCATGTGAGGCAGGAAACAGAAATGTGAAGGCCTATGGAAGTGGAAAAGGCAAAGAAATCGCCTTTCCTCCAGAAAGAATCATCCCGATGGCTTGTTTTAGACAACTGACCTCCAGAACTGTCAGACAGACCTTAGAAGGTGTTCAAGCAGAAAGGCACTTCTAGCCTGATTGCAGAAATCCAGTCAGTTGCACACAAGCCTTCTGGCCCTCTCAAAACACCTACCCATTTAAAAAGTCTACTTTGGAAAATACTGTTAGTCTACGCATCTTTTCCTTTAGAAAACGGAAAGGCACAAATGCCAAGGTGATATTTCTCCTTAGGAAAACTAATCATCTACAGTATAGGTAGGGAGGAACAAATGAGGCATTTTACACTCAAAGTTATAGAACTGACTCTAGCAGATGAGTCACAGCAGTCCCTTGCATTAATTTCTGTGTTATCATACAAGCCTGGAGTCAAAGAATACTGGGGTCTTGTGCCAGGCTCCACAAAATGTGATGTAAGTGTCGAAGAGGATATCCTTTGTCCAGGAGAATATGAGTTCTTCACTGTTGATGGTATTATTTAAATTGCCAGTTGAATAGCGTTATCAAACGTATTCCAGGTGATTGAAATGTTTCCCAAGTGGTGAACCCAGTTCCACTGTAGTTTTATCAGTTCTCATCCTGTATTATATTGGTTCTCATGCTGTGGTTGGTTCTGGCCAACAGGAGTATACAGAAGACTATGGGCAACAGAGCGGTAAGGGGAGCTTTCCAGCCATGATCACACCTGCTTATGAAAGGGCCAAGAAAGCCAACCAGCTGGCCAGCCAAGTGAGTGCCCAGATGCTTGTTCACCATCGAGTATGCTCATTTTTGTCATTAATTAAGCCCTGCGATTCAGGGCGAAAGAACATAAGAGAGCGTTTTTAACAGTAGGGTTAGTGTTGTATTGGGGAGAAAACCATGTTCTTACCTTTCTCCTATCAAATCCTCCATTCCTTGATTGAGACACACATCTACAACACAGAGAGAAGACTGTGTGGTTCACCCGAAAAACAGTCCAAACAATTTCTTGAGATTGCTGGTTTTTATTCACTGGATGGCAGAGCTTCCTGAAGGGTAGCATAGTTTGTTGGTTAAAAACTCAGATTTTGGTACCAGAAAGCTGAGATTTGAATCCTGGCTTTATTAAATATTAGCTGTAGGGTCATGGACAAATTACTTAACCTCTCTGTCCCTTGGCTTTTCATTTGTAGGGCGAGGAACAATAATCTCACCAGATGTGGTTGTTATGGCGATTAAGTCACTTTTTGTTAACACCTAGAAGTATCTGGCACGCTCTTGAATTTAGCGCATTAATATCGATGCTTTGGGGACCATAATAGATTTGCCACAGGTTTGAGTTGAGTGTAGCTGGATGGCAGAGCTTCAGGAGAGCTACCTGAGGGTCCTTACAGAGGCTGTGACCTTGTGCAACCTTAATTGTGTGCTGTCTCCTCATCAGGTGGAATACAAGAGAGGGCATGATGAGTGTGTCTCCAGGTTCACCACGGTGGCTGACACCCCTGAGCTGCTGAGGGCTAAGGCAGGGGGACAGCTTCAAAGTGATGTAAGAAATAAAGGATGCCAAGATGCAGTGGTCTTCACTGAAGACCCCTCTGGAGGAGGAGGGAGGGAGAATGCAGGAGGCATCTGAGTCCCGTGTGGATTTCAGGAAGAACTTTCTGATGTGAAAGCCGACCGGTTGGGTCCAATAAGCCAGCTAGCAAACACCCTTGAAACTGAAAACACTAGATCAGATGAGTTCCAAGCCAAACGTAGCTGATTAGTCTGGAAGAAATCCATTGCCACGGTTAACAACAGAAAAGAATTTTTAAATAATTTTTGCCCCTTGTCTTTTCATAGCCCGTGTGCTTCATAGCATACAAAGGCCAAGCACATAGTATTGTTCCAAAGGGAGGTTGAAGTACAAATCCAGCTTCACCTTAGTAAGTGGTTTCGACTTGTCTTGGCCTAGGTTTGGAATTGAGAGGCCTCTTTTGTCTCCCCAACTTTAAGCTCCCCAAGGACAGGAGATTTATTAGTTTGCCCAGCTCTACCTTTTGGCCCATATAGGGTGCAGTACAAGTACATGCTAAAAACGCACTTTGACACATTGAGTGTCTCCATGTGCCAGGCACTGTGCTAGATATTGGGAATGAAGAGGTAAATAAGATGTACATGGTTCATCAAGCTATAAGCCAAGTATGTGCCCTTACAACTGTGATGGGGTGGGCAAAGTATTAATGAAGCCCTTAGCAGAGCACCTCACTAGGGTTCTCTGATGTTTGTAGGATATAACATATGATTTTCTCTTTCTTTCCCTTAAATTTTCTTTTCAGGTGAGATACACAGAGGACTATGAACACCAGAGAGGGAAAGGCAGTTTTCCTGCTATGATCACACCAGCTTATCAAATAGCCAAAAGAGCTAATGAGCTAGCCAGTGATGTAAGTGCACACAGCAATGTTGCTGTGTTACAGAGGAAGCAGGAAGTTAACCTGAGCCTAGTTGTCCAACTTCCTGTTTACTTTTGGATGCACTCTGGAGCCCAGAAATAGCTTCCTTTCATAGTTTTCTAGGACTTATTATGATAATAACCTAGCACTTCTGTGTCTAAGATATATTCCTTAGATCCAAGCATAAGAATAACATTTCACAAGACTTTCATTTTTAGCTCTTCTTTGCATGGGAGGTTAAATTCACTGACTTTTCCTTTCCTTCCCACATAGGTGAAGTACCATGAACGATATCAGAGAGAAGTGAGGGGAATGGCTGATTCAGCCGCGGGAGCTGAGGGTGTGCTGACAAGGGAATGTGCAGACCAGTATGGCCAGGTATGTTATAAAGTAACTTCCTGGGAGGCTGGCCTTTTCCATGGCCAGTTCTCAGTTTGCCCTTTACTAGCAGTGACATTTAATAAGGGCTTTATCTTTGTTCTATTTATGAAGGGTGGATTTTCTAGGCCAGAAAGTAGCAAATAAAATTATACCTGGTTCAACTTGATCTACTTAGGAAAATACATTCCAAGAATAAGGCATTCTTGAGTTCTCATTCACAAACGTTCCCAAGGACAGAAACTGGCCATGTTTAGCCCATCACTGCTGTATGAAAGGGATCAAAATGTACATCTTAAAAAACATTGAGCATTTCACTGAGTAGCAGGGCTCATTGTCTTAGAAAATAAATTTCTTATCTCGGTTGCTGCTAGATAAAGCAGTATAACAGAGAATGCAAACCTTTTTCCTAATTCTGTTTCTCAAGTGAACTACATCTTGTCCTGGAGTACAAAGGCTGAGATGACAGTTACAAGCTAATTTTTATTTGTACTTCCCTTTGTATTTTCTGGCCAGGGATTGTAGGAGAGAAAAGAAATGTTTTTCTTTGAAGCTGTGTGTAAAGAATGTTGAAAGAACAAGTGTGTGCTGGAATGATATTTTCAATGAGTTTAAGTGGTTTTTTAAAATTTGGCATAGTATAAATTATTTGCACTATATAGTTATAAAAGGAAACCACAGAGAATTAATTTCTATCTTTAGAAAGACTAGTTACCATGCATGAGCACATGCTCATATGAGTCTTAGGGTGGGTATAATGAAGATGGATTGGGGAACTTTTGCAAATTTCTGCCTGAGCAAAAATGCTAGGTTTTGAATTAAAAAGGCCATTCCACCAAATTGTACAAGTTAATTAAATGATCTCTCACTGTTTTAACACAATGAAAATATGTTTTTACTGGTTTTCTGTCTTAATATATTATTTAGAAGGCTCAGGACAACTTTTAGAAATCCATTTTATTTAAAAGAAAATCTGGCTTTTATATTTGGAAAAATATTTTGTCCTTTATTTCACTGTTCTACCTGCCACGAGTTATAACACCCACCTAATTTCATGTGTTTCTAGATGTCTGTATACATAGATGGACTGTAACTTTGCAGTATCATAGTTGATTCTTGAGTATTTGTACACTTTGATGAAGTTTCTAGTCTTGATAATAACAAATGCAAGAATCAAGGTAGTTGCCATTTGATAGCACGGTTAGCAGCTCTTGGAAGGGCACTGTCTAGTGTGATATTTCACTGTGGGACCTAGTGTGACTTGCCAGGGCATGAGTAGGAAGGAGTGAGAGAGAAGCAGGTAGGCAGATGAACTATAAAAATCTGTAGCCCCGTAAATGCCAAGCAATTCATTTTTCTTTATAATGACTAACTACATTTGTAAAAAAATGTAATCTATTTATTATTTGTAACCAACAAACTCCCTAGCAGGATTAGGTGTCTTACAAAAAGATACACACACACACACACACACACACACACACACACAAAAAAAAGTCCAAAAAAAAAAAAAACCAATACAGTGGGATGGGAAAAATCAGAATAGATTGCCAAAGAATTTGAGAAACTTTTTTAAAAAAACTTTTTAAAAAGTATTATATTTGGCTCAGACTATTCTGGCAGCCAAGTGAAAAGGAGCACTTAGGCTGAACAGTTTTCATTATTGAGTAAAAAGAAGCTAGACATTTTAATTTGACTCAACTGCTGTATTTAAGAACACGTGTGTGCCAGAGTTTAAGCTGGTGCTGGCATGGGCAGGCCCTTGCTTTGGAGGAGGCCCCAGAGAGATGGAGTCCTGCATCCGGAGGGCCACGGTAAGGGCTGATCCAGCTTTGTGACCGGGAAGCAGCAGATTCTGACCCAGGCAGGCCTGTGATGACAGAGGACTTGGGAACTTCTGAGAGAAGGGTGCATCTGAGCAGGTCTTAAAGTACATCAGCCAGGGAAGGCTGTGTGATAATGGTTTCACAAGAAAGAAAGTTTCCCTTTGGGGTAGTGGTTGGGTGCTGTGGAGAAGAGAAAGGGAAAATTAAGACTGATATTATACTCCGCATGCTTTAATACACATTTACTCCCATTTCAGATCATCTGAGGGCAATTTGAAGCTTCCCACTCCCACCGCATGACAGAAATGTTACAGCACTTGTTTTCTGATCACGTGGCACATATGAGTGGAAAGGATAATACTATTAAAATATCCCTCTGATAGATGTGTTGTTGAACCTAAGTAAGGTAGTGTTTGAGACTATGAAGGCAAAGGACTTCCCCAATATGAATGAAGACAGCAGTATTCCGTCGCAGCACAGGACTGGGTGACTGGTGGAGCATCTTAATTTATCCGGTGAACATGATGATGACCATGAGAATGGTTATCATCTATTCAGTGCTGACAATGTCTTTGGCACCAATAAGTGGGCCCAACTCAAGGTCTAGCACCTTAACCCCACACAATATGGCTCCTGTGGCAATCACTGGAATTCCCAATGTGGATGGGCTTCTATGGGAACGGGCTCTGTGGGCAGTCATTGCTGATCCTCATCCATTCAGAGAGATAAGCATTACTGATCAAAGCTTTCGATCGACTCAGCAGGGTCACCTAGAGGAATGTGAGGAGCCCAGGGGAAAGGGCAGCTTCCCAGCCATGATCACCCCGGCTTATCAGAATGCCAAGAAGGCCAATGAACTGGCTAGTGATGTAAGTACCACACTGGGGCACAGGCAGAGCCACCGAGGAGGCAGAGGAGAAACGAGACTTAGGGGCCGCGTTTACTGAGTTTTGCACAGAGATACATTTGTCAGAGCTGAGCCAGAGTAGAATGTTAGCCTCGCCCTCAATTCCCGTCCAAATTTCTGATCTCTGCTTATGCTGAATCTCTGGTTACATTAATCTGCTTCCGAGGAGATTGACGTGGACAAACAGCACAACCCACTTGAGACCATTTGAGGCAAGTACAAATGCTGGTCCAGCCAGATAATCTGGGATTAAGAGAATTGCACCAGAAATCCATTCAGAAATTAAGCATTTTAGGGGAAGAGCTGATTAAAACAAGCCGTATTATTATTAAGCTGGGTGTAACCCAGTGATAAACGATTTTATTTACAGAACCTAAGCCAGCCGGGAGTCCTTGAAAGACAGACTATAATTAAACTTAGTAAGTGTAATGCTCGCTGCAGATCTTAGCACGGCAACGTGAACTTGATCAGAAGCCAGTGTTCATTTCAAGTCCTTTGCCCATCACAACTCAGTTGTTGTTCGGTTATTACCCACGTATGCGGAACAGCGCCACCTCTGCTCTGAGAAGGAAAGTACAAGAGATTACTCACTTTTCCTGTCAGTCAGCCATAGGAGAAATGAAGTCGAAACCTAGGGCAGATTGGGGTTGGAATTACATCCTTTGCTATGATTGTTTAAAGACCTTTCTTCATGCCGAATTACAGTGTAAGGCGTGTGAAAGGGGCCAGTGCGTTTTTAATACAAAAAGGACTGAGTAGTTGATAGATTTGATGGAGAGAAAAGTTGTGAAAATTCTATTAAGTAAATGTTAACATTAAATCATAGACAATTTTGAGGAGATTTATCTCACAAAATACAGTAACAACAACTCTAGACCCCCTTTGTGTATTTCTTTTAGATAAAATACAGGCAGGACTTCCACAAGATGAAAGGAGCGGCACACTACCATGCTCTTCCAGCCCAAGACAACCTGGTTCTTAAACGGGCTCAGAGTGTTAACAAGCTTGTGAGTGAGGTGCGTATGGGGGTGTTCGTCACATCTATGTGCTATCACCCTTTTATCTCTTAGAGAGCAAATGGGGGTGACCCTATGACAAACGATGCAGTTAAGAGTGTGGCATATACTATGTGTGGGTTACCAGTTTCCAAAGAATGGCTGTGCAGTAAAATGAAGTTAACAAGAAAGCCTAGAAGCAAACAAATTGAATCTTTCTCAAGTGGCTCAAAACTTTCTTCCCAGATCTTACCAGGCTATAGATACTCAAAAGTGCCAGGCAATAGATTTCTAGTTGCCAGAAGGAGTCTTGAATGACCCAGCTTTTAAATAATGTGTCATTGTTAGACACCGGAAAACAAAGAGCAGAAGGAGTATTTCAAATGTTAGGCTTCTGTTTCTCTCTTACCATTGTAGTCAGAGTTTGGGGAAGCTCTCTTACCTTACAGACTGCTGGAGGATGCATCACATAGATAGGTCAACCCCATCTTTAAGCTGTTTGGGATGGATAGGACCACTTGACATTCTCCACTAGCTCCTCAGGTCCTTTTTGTACTCCAGTGTCTCTCCACAGCAGCTCTTCTCATTCACATTACTTCCCTGGATTGTGAAGGCATTTGAGCCAGCAGCCTCTGGCCACAGGAATAATCATGGCTATGAAACATAACACACCGTCTGCATCTCAGAACATAATGCAAATATCCTGGACTATTTTTCTTCTCTAACTTCTAAAGGCAGATCCTTTACCCCAAGTTGTTAGTTGGCTTGTGGTCCTCTGACTTCAGAGTGCCTGACTCACAGAAGGACACTTTCTCGAACCTCGTTAGGAGCCTCAGACGCTTTGTTGTAGTCACTGAGTGCTAAGGTCTCGAGCTTCATAGTTAAATAAGTGTTCCAGATGATTCTGGTGCTGTAGAGCAGTGATGGCAAACTTTTTAGAGACAAGTGCAACCCAAAACCCCCTTATTTATTGCAGTGTCATCACTGCAATTAAACCCAAATATTGAGGTTTTAGTTTAGAAAAAACAACTTATACACCCACTTATTTTGTCTTAAAAGAAGAACAACACACATGCCACAGGTTCACCACCAGTGCTCTAGACCATAGGCTCAGCCTGTTTTTGTGAATAAAGTTTTATTGAGATACAACTTCATCATATTTATCTTGTCTATGGCTGCTTTCAAGCTACAAGGATGGAAATGATCACTTGACATAGAGAAATGTGACTGGCAAAGCCTAAAATATTTTCTATATTGTTTAGATGGGACCTTTGCAATTGTTAGATTGTCACTTTGTTGTAGACCTGGGGAAAAAAGTGTCTGGTTCTGTTTCATAGAGAGTTTTAGGGACAGAGCTAGAACCAGTTCACTGAGAGTGCAGCTCTACCCATGCAGAAACACTACTGTCAATACTTTGACCTTCTTTCAGGTGAATATGTGTAACTGAATACATGAAAATGGAGACATGTCTATAGAGTTAGAATTTGACTGTATATGCAAATTCATATTTTTAAACTTTATACCATACTGTGAGCACTGTAACGCATCTTGCATACTTTAAAAGGCATGTCCCCACTGTATAGTTTCACTAGACATGATAGCAAATTAAGTTGTATTTCCTGTGGTAAGAGGTCACAAGGGAAACTTCAGTTTCTTTTTGCCCTGTATTTATTCATTAAGACAAACCAGCTGCACCTCTATAAATGGTAATTGTCCTCAGCTGCCTTCTGCAATTACCTGGGATGAAGTGGAGTCTATTTAATAACGATGGCCTCACATTTTCCATCCAGGCACCCAGGGGAGCTCAAATAGCCCACCCCTTAAATTAAAGATCCCCTCCATCAGAGTAGTCTTCTTTATTATACTCTTGTAAAGGACCTGGTTTTGGTTAAACTTTATTGAAGAATACATAGAGATATGTGTACATATTGTTAAATATATTGGATTTTTACCATGGACTTATCTATGTAATTAACTCGCAGATCAGAAAACTAAAGTCTGAAGTCCACATAATTCCCACAAGACATTTCTCCTGAGAGCAACCACTTAATTTCTGAAAAACAGTTTCACCATTAACATATTTTTTGTGGTGCTAAGGATTGAAGCCAGGGCCTTGTGTGTGCTAGGCAAGCCACGCCTCTATATTGAACTACACCTCCAACCACAGCTTAGCCATTGTTTTGAGCTGTATGAGGTCTTACAGGACATGGTCTTGGAAAGGAGCATATATTTTTAATTTTCAGAAGGAAATCAACTATTCTTTTTTTATTTTATAAAGGAAAACATATTTATAGTATCCTACCCCTGGTATTTTAAAGTCTTTGAATTTTTTTTTTTTAAAAATCATAGTTAAGTCCTGGAGATGTTTTCAGGAGTGACTTTGGGTTTGGTTCCATGGCACGGGTCATGTTTTGGTTTCCAAGGTGGAGTATAAGAAGGATCTGGAAAGTAGTAAAGGTCACAGTATCAACTACTGTGAAACACCTCAATTCAGGAACGTGAGCAAGATCTCAAAATTCACCAGTGATGTGAGTCCTCCATGCCTAAGCACCTGGGCACTGTTTTTGTGAGCTTAATTTTTAGGTCTCCTAAGAGACAATCTATGTGAATGCATCATAAGTCTTGGAAAAGCATGGCTTCTTTGGCACCCGTACCTATGAGTTTTGGCTGAGATTGTCTCCATAGTGTCAAATTCTGTCACACCCTGCTGTGCCCTCTTCCTTTCCCATACTTGACTTTGCATCCTCAGTACAGGACCTGTCCTCTCTCTCCTTCTGGATCTCTTCTGTACAGCACAGTGTCCTACCTAGTGACAGATGCTGGCAGTGGAGCCTGGCTGAGCATGCGACACCCCCTCTCAATGTGACTTTGTGCTTCTGGGCTAATAAGCGATCTCACCTAACCCTCACGTTCATCCAGAGAGCTAGACATGATTTCCCTGTCTTCCAGAAGAGTAGATGGATACTAGAGTGATATTTGTGAATTTGGACACTCTCAGAGAAGGTCTGAAGATGTAACTTGAGAACATCAAGGAACTATTGCAGATCACTTGATTTTTACTTTTGCTTAGGTACACATAATAGTAAAATTTATAATAACAGGGGAATTTGGAAGGCTCAATGAAGAATTTATTTTGCAAAAATGTAGTGATAATTAAGATCATATCTGATATATAGTAATAGGAGTATATTTAAATACTCCCAGTGCGTAGAAACTCAATGGCCTACCTGGGTAGAGGATTTTAATGTAGCTTCATTAGAAGTATGCAGATTTTCCTGTTGGTGGACCTTCATCATTACATTTTGATCTTCACTTTATTTTAAGGAGCATTTGGGACAAACATCATTATTTCAGATGGTTACAGTAGTGACCAATTTTTACATTACAGAATTTGACAAAACTCAGTTTATTCTTCATATACTGTCATCCTTTGGTATCTATGGGTGGTTGGTTCCAGCACCCCCATTGTGCCAACATACTCAGATATTAAATTCCTTTACATAGAATGGCATAGTATTTGCTTATAACCTACAAACATTCTTGCATATACATTAAATTATCTCTAGATTACTTATAGTACCTAATACAACATAAATATTATGTAAATAGTTGCTATACTATGTTTAAAAAATACTGGCAAGAAAAAAAACCTGTATTCAGTACAGATCCAAGTTTTTTCTGAGTAGTTTTGATCCATGGTTGGCTGAATTCATGTACATAGATCCTGTGTGTGGAGAGGCTATTTACAAACAGAGGTGAGAGTATGCAGCGATTTGTGCCATCCCCAGCCTGGAGCTTTGCATACTCAGTGCTTGTCTGTTGGAAAGCTCCACACTTACATGGTAAATTTTCACACTGGAAAAATCTGGTAAATTTAAAACTGAAAATGTAAGAACAAACGAACAAAACATTAAATCTGCTATGTGCTGTCAATGCCCATCAGACCCCATGTTCTTGTGTGTTTGTCTGCCTGCCTTACTCCACCTTCTTGTGCTTGCTTGAAATTAAAGTTGTTAAAAGCAAACTTTTTGTTTATTCAGTGGGACACTGATTACTTAAGTAGCTTAATCATTTATATTTTGGATTTAGTGGATTAAGATGAGTGCTTTATCTTCAACTAGTTGGGAAGTTTTTGTTGCAAGTTTTATGTTTCCACATAGAATAAGTATAAAGAAAACTACCAGAACCATATGAAAGGCCACTATGAAGGAGTTGGCATGGACAGGCGCACCCTCCACGCTCTGAAAGTCAGCAGTCTGGCCAGCAATGTGAGTGCTTTGTGTGAGCCCTGAAAGGATGGAGTGGAGTAGGGTATAAGGAATTCAGTCCATTCTTTTTCAACCTCCCTTTTAAAAAAATATCTCTACACTAGTGTGTAGAGACAGATCCATCAGAGTTTCTAAATCTTAACCATTGCAACCTAGGATTTGTAAAATTCCTTAAGATTTTCAAGGTCTTAATTTATCTTAGCTTTCTCTGGTTTGAAGAGTACTTAAATCTATCATAATTGATCCATTATGATAAACATTTTCAATTTCTGAGAGATAAAGACATGGATAAACATGATTCATATGTAAAATTCCCCACATTCAAAAGCTCTTGTGATTTACTTGGGGCTGGTTAGTTGGTTGGCGAGTGTGTTTGTCCATTAGTTTTATTCAGTCATTGTGTTTATTGAAGGCTTCTGGTGGCCAGGCCCTGGTCAAGGTGGTAGGACAACAAAACAGATCAAGTTCTTGTTTTCCTTTTAGTTGAGAATCTATTGATCTCTCTTTGGCTTTGTCAATCTACTTCACAGATTTGCAAATGCCAGCTTATTAATCATGGAGTAGAGTTAAAAGACACTTAAGGGAAACTGATTTTATTATTAAAACATATAAATGTCAGATTTTCTCTGCTTGAGAATGTCAGATTTGACCCTTAGGAAGAAAATTTAAATACTCTGAAGACTCCTGACTTTTCATTTATTTTGGGGGGTTAGCCAAGAAGAACTTTCTTTACATACTCATGTGTAAGTGTTCCTTTTTAACAAAAATGACAAGAAGTCTCTTAAGTAAAAAATGAAAAATAAAATAAATATGCTACAGATGGAAGTTGACTAATTTTGGATTAATTAAGAAGAATTTAGATTAATTTAAGGCAAAAGTGTGAACATAATTTTCCTTGGAGGTAGTGAAAATGAATTAATTTTGTTTCTGGCTATTTTAAAAACAATTCTAATGACATTTTAACAAGGTCAAAAGAAAATGAGAACTGATTTCTCTTTCCTTGTACTTTCCTTTGGGTTTCAGGTCGCCTACAAGGCTGATTATAAACATGACATTGTAGACTACAACTACCCAGCCACTCTTACTCCTTCCTATCAAACAACAATGAAACTGGCTCCTTTGAAAGATGTAAGTCCTCTTGCAGTAGCCCTTTGGCTTTATTACTTGTCACTTCCTTCCTGGGGTAGTGGTGGGGGTGCATAGTGAGTCTTCAGCAGATAGGTGGAAAGAAATAAGATACAATTTGTAGGAGACTGGAGGGTCCAAGAAAAGGGTAGTTCTTTTTTCCTTAGGAAGCCCCTTTGTGCATGGGTGGAAACTCAGATTTTCAATGGAAAGTGGGAACGACTCTGATTTTTGTGTTGAAAATAACCTGAAGTTCAGTTACTCCTCTTAGAATTTGGAGGGCTATGTCTAACGGTCACATTTATAATAATTATTCTTTACCAGTGATGACCTTTGTTAAAAAAGAAAACTTTGGAGTATAGTATATTAAGGACTGAGGGAAATAAAATAAGATGGACAGATGAATATAAGTTGAGAATAAGGGATAATGC